TATATATATAATATATAGTATATATAATATATATAATTATTTATTATCTTATTGAGTAACAATTTAATTAATATATTAATTGTTATAAGGGAGAGGAATATTTATTAATTAAATTAAATAATTATTTATTATTTCTTTATATATTTATATGCATGCATAATGTTTTATTCCTTGCATGCACACATGTATTATAAAAAAAGAAAATAAAAACTATTTATTTATGTTTAAATAAATAAATAAATAAAATAAATAAACAAAATAAATAAACAAAATATATAAATAATTAGTATTATCTAATAATTCATGAGTAACTCTTTCTTCCCTCCTATGCATGATAGTAACAATTACCTGCCTATACACCGCAAGAGGGGGTAATAAAGACGTTATTATAATTAAAATTCTTCTTTTATAATAATAGAAACGATTAAATGGTATTTAATTTATAAAAATAAATAAATTTAATGATTTTTTATTGTTTTTGTATAAAGAAGAAGAAATGAATAATTGGGGTGTATGTACACCATAAATCTCCGCCTGACTGCATAAATAAATAAAAAGAAGAATTTTCTTCTTTTTATTCTTTTTGGGTCTTTTTTTTTCTTTTCTTTAATTATATTTTATTATTATTCACTATTTTATCCATAAAGAAGCAGAAGATTCATTTATTCTCTCCTTTCTTACGTGTTTTTCCCTGTACGCATATAATACACAGTATACTTATTGTGTACTAGCACAGCCGCCGTTTGCTGCCTGTAGGCGCGCAGAGGTTCTTGCTGTTTCTTCTTCTTATTCATGCTTATAAAATATAAATAATAATAATAATAATAAAAGTGACGATATTTTATTGCTAATTATTCATAAATTGACCAATTAAGCTGCGTGTACACCTGAATTATACCTATCAAGAAAGCAGTAGACAAGAGCGAATCCGCTTTCCTCACTCGGTACATAAAAGTGCATAAATAACCAATTAAACATGAATATAAATTAATAAATACCTTATTTTATTTGTTTTTATGTTTTTTCCTTTCTTTTAAGTATATTTATTGCCTAATTCCCTTTTATTTTGTATGCATTTCGTCTTTTTTGTATATCGTGATGTTGAATCTTGTGCAAGTAGTACAATAAAGGAGTATTTTATTGATTAAATGATAAAATTAATGAATAAAAGTTGTATTTTTATATATATTTGATTAACATTAACTAAATTAAATACTAAATAAATATATTTATATTTTTTTTCTTGTATTTTCCTCTTAGGAAATGGATTTTCCTTGGCCTCCTCGCTCCCCCTTTGAGGCCCTCTATAACGAATTATGCGATTCATTGAATCGTCTTGATCTAATGATGCAGCAGGGGCCATTTGCTGCATGGCGTCCTCTTTCTTTTGGTCCCCCTGAGTCCCCAGAGCAGCAGCAGCAGCATCAGCAGCAGCAGCAACTGCAGCAGCAGCAGCAGCATCATCAATTACAGCAACAGCAGCAGCAGCTGCCTGGTAGACAAGATATGTGTGCTTGTCCATGGGGCAGCAACAGAAGCAGCTTAAGCAGCAGCAGCAGCAGCGGTGGCTTTTTCTCTCCTCATTGGTGGCCATACCGCAGCAGCAGCAGCAGCAACAACAACAACAGCAGCAGCAGCAGCAGTTTATTTTCTTTTAGTAATTCTTCTTGTATACCACGAATAGATATAAAAGACGAAGGAGATAAACTAATATTGCATGCAGATATTCCTGGTGTATCTAAGGAGAATATACATGTGCATGCAGGTGATGGTTATTTATCGATAGAAGGTAGCAGCAGCAGCAGCAGCAGCAGCAGCAGCAACAGCAGCAACAGCAGCAGCAGCAAGAATGGAGACTTTATTGTACAAGAAAGGTGCAGCAGCAACTTTTATAGATCTTTTCTTCTTCCTCAAGGAATAAAAAAAGAAGAAATAAAAGCTAAATATAATAATGGTGTTATTCAGGTGTATATACCTAAAGAAAATAAATTAAATAAAAAAGAAGATAACCCTATGAATATACCAATTGAATAAACCCTAAACCCTAAACCCTAAACCCTAAACCCTAAACCCTAGGGTGTAAAATGATGTATAAAAAAGTGTTACATAAATAAATAAATGAATAAATAAAAACAACAAAAAGAACAGGCAGACTGACAGACAAGCTGCAGCAGCAGCAGCAGCAGCAGCAGTAGCAGCAGCAGCAGCAGTAGCAGCAGCGAGAGCAACAATAACAGAAGCAGCAGCAGCAGCAGCAGCAGCAGCAGCACTAGCAGCAGCAGATTGTGTTTGGAAGAAGTGTTTGTATGTTTACTATGCATCAATAAAAAAGCCCCAAAACTCCGCATGCATGCATGCATGCTTTTTTGCATGCATGCATGCATGCATACATGCATGCAGGAAATATTTTGCTGATTGGGGTGTATGTACACCTCATTTTATATGCAGCAGCAACAGAAACTTATAAACCCTAAACACCCTTGGGGGTTTTTTGTTATAGTTAAAGGAAACGTAACAGGTTGTAATTAGGGTTTAGGGTTTAGGGTTTAGGGTTTGGCTAGTGTTAAGCATTAGGGGTTAGGGCTTGATTAGATGTTGTGGTTATGTGCTTACCACAATATAGAGAAACAGTTTAGGGTTTAGGGATTAGGGTTTAGGGTTTGTGGATTGACGGCACAACAAACAAAAGCCTTTCTATGGATGCACGGTTTAGGGTTTAGGGTTTAGGGTTTAGGGTTTTAGGTGACATCGAGTCGCACATCTTTCTATTATAAGATCGTTATATACTTAACATTATTATTATACTAGGGTTTAGGGTTTAGGGTTTAGGGTTTAGGGTTTGATTAATGATAAAAGATTATTTTCTTAACATCTTTGTTTATTATTATAATATTATTAGTACTATTTCTATGTAAACCCTAAACCCTCGCGAGGGTTTGGGGTTTATAAAAAAGGGTTTATATATATACACAAAAATTATTATTTATAAATAATAATTGCCGTTAAAGGTATTAAAGGGGGCCCCTGTATATGGGGCCCCTCTGTGGGGCCCCCCACCCAAGGGGCCCCCCACCCAAGGGGCCCCATTTAGGGGTCCCCCTTGTCTTGAAAGTATTGCCATTGCTGTATTTCTTTGTTTTTACCCCTTTAAAGAAATAATAAAGGGGAATTAAATGTATATTTTATGAATAAATTAGGGTTTAGGGTTTAGGGTTTAGGGTTTAGGGTTTGTTGTTCGTTATTCATTAAGTATGATTATTATATATACCTGTAATTGTTAATATAAATAAAAAAAAGAATAAATTATTTATATTTATATTATTATTTATTTATTTATAAATAAAAAAAGGAATAAAAAAGTTGCCTATACACCTGAATAAATTGGGGTGTATAGGCAGCTAACAACTAGATATGCGTGCAATATTATTAGGTATATTAGGAGGAAGAATGCCATTAGGCATATATAATATAAATAAAACAATATGTAGACCTAAAGAAAGGAAAATAAATAATAAAAAAGAAGAAAAAGGAATAAAAATAAACAAAGAAGTATGGAGAATAGCAGGAAAACAAAAAGAAGGAAAAAATACTAATTCTTTTTTTTATGCATATAAACATATTTATTTATTTAATAATAATAATACAGATATTGGTACTCTTTGTACTATTATTCTACAAGAAGGTAAGAAGAAAATACAATTAAATTAATTAATTTAATTAATTTAATTAAATTAATTAAATTAATTATATTAATTTATATTTTGCTCTTTTTTCCTACCTTTTAGCTGCCTATACACCGCAGATATACAGATAATAATATATCATGCATACACCATAAAAAAAGGGGATAGAAAGTAAACTAAATAAAATAAAATAAAGAAAGTAAATAAATAAATAAATAAATTAATTAATTAATTATATTCTCTTTTCTTTGTTTTTTCCTTATTTATTTATAGGGTCTATACACTCCGTCAGGTTGCATGCAGCAGCACTTGGCTACCCTATAGTAGGGGATAATTTATATATTTATTCTTTTCCTTCTTTTCTTCCTTTTTCTTCTTTTTTTATTCCTAATAATGTACAGAAGCAGCTAATACATATACAGCAGCAGCTACATAATCCAGCAGCAGCAGCAGCAGCAGGAAATAACCTCCTGCTGCTGCAGCAGCAGCAGCAACAGCAGCAGCAGCAACAGCAGCAGCAGGAAGAAGATGAATATGATCCTTTAATGTTAATCCCTTTGCGAGCAAAGGGGAGCTGGGAAGATTTATATAAATTTGTTTCTTGCAGCGGCAGCAGCAGCAGCAACAGCAGCAGCAGCAACAGCAGCAACAGCAGCAGCAGCAGCAAGACAAAAGAAGAATTAAATGAATGGCAAGTGTATCCTGATTGTCTTTCTCCTTTGCTGCAGCTGCAACCCATCAGCAGCGATCAGGCATTAGCAGCAGCAGCAGCAGCAATAACAGCAACAACAGCACCAGCAGCAGCAACAGCAGCAACAGCAGCAGCAATAACAGCAACAGATAGCAGTATACAAACTACAGATACGCATACTAACAAACTCCTCTCTCTTGAGGAAACCCCGCAGCAGCAGCAGCAGCAGCAGCAACAGCAGCAGCAAGAGCTGCTGCACCAGCAGCAGCAGCAGCAACAGCAGCAGCAGCAGCAGCAGCAGCTGTTAGATATGTTTTGTCCGTGTGAAAGGGACAGCGGAGTGTTTGAAGAAATCAACTTATGGCGCAACTTTGAATAAGGGTTTAGGGTTTAGGGTTTAGGGTTTAGGGTGTATGGGGTAGCTAAACCCTAAACCCTAAACCCTAAACCCTAAAACTTGTTTCTCTTTTTTTCCTTTATTTATTTTTTTTTGTTGCTTTTGTTGCTATTAAATATACAATAAATAACTATAAACCCTAAACCCTAAACCCTTGTGGAGTCCTAGCTAAACCCTAATAACAAGCCTCTCCTTCCCCCCGCTAAACCCTAAACCCTAAACCCTAAACCCTCAGTGTGAGTAGTGTTACTATACAACAAAGAAAGAAATACATAAATAATAAATAAAATAAAAAGAATAAAATTATTTAAATTTATTTATTTAATTTAATTTAATTATATTTATTTATTTAATTAAATAAATAAATATAAATAAATAAAATAAATAAATAAAATAAATAAATAAATAAATAAATAAATAAATATTTAAATAAGACGCAGACCACGAAGACCCTCGGTTTTTGCTTGTTTATTAGCAACAGCACCAGCTTTTTGCTGCTGCTGCTGCTGCTGCTGCTGCAGTGCAGCAGCAGCAGCAGCAGCAGAAGCCTTAAATTTATGTTTATGACTTCTTTCTCTTCTTACGCGAAGCAATTGACGAGAAATTTCTGAATTCTGCAGAAAAAAAAAAAAAACGCATGCAGCCCCAAAATATGCTGCTTCTGCTGCTGCTGCTGCTGCTGCTGTTGTTGCTGCTGCTGCTGCTGCTGCTGCTGCTGCTGCTGCTGCTGCTGCTGACGTACCTTAAAGGATGGATCTGTTGGATCAATTGCAAAGGAAGGAGCATCCAATATCCTACTAAATCTATCATCGTCAAAATTAAACTGCAAAATAAATAAATAAATAAATAAATAAATAAATAAATAAATAAATAAATAAATAAATAAATAAATAAATAATAAAATAAATAATAAATATAAATAAATAAACAGCAGCAACAGGACCAACAGCAGCAGCACTCATTATACTGCAGAAGTAACACCAATACAAACAACAACTGCAACAGCAACAACAGCAGCAGCGACAGCAACAGCAGCAGCAGCAGCAGCAGCAGCTGCTCCAGCAGCTGCAGCATCAGCAGCAATTAGTGTACCTTAAATCCTGGTTGTTGTTTTTGTTGCTGCTGCTGCATATATTCATCATCTTCTTCTTCTTCTGCTTCTTTTCCTTTTTTATTTTTTTCTTTTCTTTTTCTTTTTCTTTCTTTTTGCATTTCCTCACGATAATCAAAGTGTCTAGCATCCTCCTATTATATCACAAACCCTAAACCCTAAACCCTAAACCCTAAACCCTAAACCCTAAACCCTAAACCCTAAACCCTAAACCCTAAAATTTTCCAAAACCCTAAACCGTAAAATTTCTCTAAACACGGAAAAAAAATAAAATTTATCTAAACCCTTATCCGTATACATTCCCTAAACCCTAAACCCTAAACCCTAAACCCTAAACCCTTGCTACTTACGTCATCATCACTAAAGATTTGTTGTTGCAATTCTTGTTTTTGTTTATTTTTTGTTTTTTCTTCTTTTTCTTCATTAAATATAGGGAACTGCAACAAGACATATAACATAATATACAATAACATTTCTTTTTTTGCTGCTGCTGCTGCTGCTGCTGTTGCTACTAAACATCCTGCTGCTGCTGTTGCTGCTGCTGCTGCTGCTGCTGCTGCAGTTGAGGCGTATGTGTTAGCTGACGGCATTTTGTTGTTTTTTCTTTTTCTTCTTTCCTAGAGAACGAGAAGAAGGGAAATCATCCTGAGGTGTACAGACACCGTAAACCCTAAACCCTAAACCCTAAACCCTAAACCATAAATATAGATAAATATAAATAGTAATATAAATATAAATATATGTATATAAATATATGCAAGACAGAGTCCCCTTACCGCCTTCTCTTTTTGTTGCTGCTGCTTTTGCTGCTGCAGCTGTTGCTTCTTCTTTTGCTGCTGCTGCTTCTGCTGCTGCTGCTTCTGCTGCTGCTGCTCTTCTTCCTCCATTGATGATTCGCTGTCGCTCGCTAATGCCTCTAAGGAGTTCTTAAAGGTAACCTTCAAGTTACTACCTAATAAAAAAAAAAACAGCAGCAGCAGCAGCAGCAGCAACAATAACAACAACTGCAGCAGCAGCAGGAGCAGCAAGGGTAGAACTCGTTGCACTTGTTGCAGCAGCAGCCGCTGCTGCAACGAGTGCAGCAACTGCAGCAGCAGCCACAGACGCATCAGGAAGATGTAGTGCATCCCCTTCGGCGTTCCTAGGGTTTAGGGTTTAGGGTTTAGGGTTTACGCATACTCTTGTTTGCATTTCCTTCTTCTTCTGATGTGTCTGTTGTGTCCGCCATATCCTGCAAATCCAACAAACGCAAACCCTAAACCCTAAACCCTTAACCCTAAACCCTAAACCCTAAACCCTTAACCCTAAACCCTTAAAACCCTCTTCGTAACCCTAAACATCTAAAAGAACAAATAGGAGGGGGCCCCCATAGGGGCCCCTTTAATTGCTGCTGCATGCAAAGGGGGCCCCTCTATTAAGTGTTGCTGTGGGGCCCTGTGGGGCCCCTGAGAGTTGCAGTGAGGGTATGGATGAGGGTTTAGGGTTTGGATTAGGGTTTAGGGTTTGGATTAGGGTTTAGGGTTTGTAGATTACCCCTAATAGTTCTTTTCTATAACTCGCTAAATTATCTTCTGTTATCTTTTTCCATTTCTTGCCTCCCTTTTCTTGCTGCTGCTGCTGCTCCTTCTGCTGCTGCTGCTGCTGCTGCTGCTCTTCTTCTTCTTCCTCGTCATAATCTGAATCATCTGATGATGCTAAGAACGCCTCTAAGTCTTGTTCCTCCAACTCCTTTGCAGTAAACCTACACAGCAGCAGCAGCAGCAGCAGCAGCAGCAGCAGCAGCAAATAGAGACACAGACATTCTTTCAGCAGCAGCAGCAGCAGCAGTAGTAGTAGTAATTGTAATAGAAATAGTAGTATCAGCAGCAAGAAGGAGAACAGCAACAACAGTATCAACAGCAGCAGCAACAAATAGACCCTTCTCCTAGCAGCAGCAACAACAACAGCAGCAGCAGCAACAGCAGCAGCAGCAGCAACAGCAGCAACAGCAGCAGCAGCAACAGCAGCAGCAGCAGCAGCAGCATACTTTTTTCTAAGGAATTTAAATCTTTCCTTTGGTGTTTCATCCCATGTAAGTTGAACTTTGCAATGTTTTAATGCGCTGCTGTTTGCTGCTGCTGCTGCTGCTTCTAGTCTTTCTGCTGCTGCTGCTGCTGCTGCTGCTGTTAATTTTTCCGGTGTCTCCTCAGCTATTAAATTATCTTTTGGTAAAATTATATCATCAGGAACAATTCGCACATCTATACCGCTTAGTGCAAAACCCTAAAAATACAAACCCTAAACCCTAAACCCTAAACCCTAAACCCTAAACCCTTTTTTTCACCTTCTATCGAAACCCAAACCCTACAGCTTTTTTATCAAAACCCTAAACCCTCGTAAATAAATTCTATATTCTTTAGTGTTATAAAAATATACTCTCCTGCATATACCACAAACTAGGGTTTAGGGTTTAGGGTTTAGGGTTTAGGGTTTACAAGCTCGCAGCCATCTAATTCGTCATAAAGGGTTTGCGCTGTCTCTGCTGAATCCGTCTCGCATATTGCATAGTAGTACCTGCAACAAAACCCTAAACCCTAAACCCTAAACCCTAAACCCTAAACCCTAAGCCCTAAACCCTATAAATCATTTAAACCCATATAACCCTTGACTCCCTCAAACCCTAAACCCTAAACCCTAAACCCTCAGCTCTATTGTTCAAATAGCTAGCAGTATATCTAGCAGCCTGTCTGTCTAGTTAGTTAGCCATATGCCTAGCCAGCTAGCCACCTAGCCAGCTAGCTAGCCAGCTAGCTAGCTAGCTAGCTAGCTAGCTAGCTAGCTGTGCTTACCGTGAGCGTTCAACTTGATATTTTCTTAAGACTTCCTGCAGCGCTTTCTCTTCCTCTGCTGACGCCCGTGGCTGCTCGTCGCTGCTGCTGTCGTCGCTTGCTGCTGCTGCTGCTGCTGCTGCTGCTGCTGCAGCACCTGATCCTGATAGTCTATGCTTACGTCGCTTTCGCTCCGCCTCCTCCCAATCCTAAATACATACACAAAACCCTAAACCCTAAACCCTAAACCCTAGATACACCTCTAATCCTAAACCCTAAACCCTAAACCCTAAACCCTAAACCCTAAACCCTAAACCCTTACGATTGCTGGTCCTTTAACTTTTTCCATTTCAACTCTTTCTTTGCCAAAGTCAGAAATATAAATCTGCACAGATTTAATACGCTGTCTGCTGCTGCTGCTGCTGCTGCTGCTGCTGCTGCTGCTGCTGCCCTTTAATCCACCAAGGAATTGCTGCAGCAGCAGCAGCAACTCAGCAGCACCAACTGAGTCCCAATCTAAACCCATCAGCGCCAATCGGTTAGATACCGTTGTATCCTGCAGCAGCAGGAGCAGCAGCAGCAGCAGGAGCAGCAGCAACAGGAGCAGCAGCAGCAACAGCAACAACGCAACACAAGACAAGAATAAATATGTCGATGCTGCTGCTGCTGCTGTTGCTGCTGTTGCTGCTGTTTGAATGTAAATGCATGCTAACGCCAACGTGAGAAAAGAAGAAGAGGCTGCTGCAGCTGCAACAGCAGTAGCAGCAACAGCAGCAGCAGCAACAGCAGCAGCAGCAACAGCAGCAGCAGCAGCAGCCGCACCTTAGGTATATCTTCTGCGTCTTGCCACACGCCACTCTCCTCCTCCGCCTCGCTGCTGCTGCTGTCGCTGTCGCTGCTGTCGCTGTCGCTGTCGCTGCTGCTGCTGCTCTCCTCCTCAGCAGGAGCAGCAGCAGCAGCAGCAGCAGCAGCAAGTTCTGCTGCTGCTGCTGCATCTTCATTAACCGGTGCATATAACTGCAGCAAATCATCTTTTGCTACTTTTGCTGCTAATTGTTCCTTAGGTGTTGCTGCTAATGGTTGCTTCTTCTTCTTCGTCTTCTTGCTGCTGCTGCTGCTGCTGCTGCTGCTGCTGCTGCTGCTGCTGCTGCTGGTCCTACCATACTTATCTACAGAGGAACTATTTAGTCCTCTGCCTACTAAGAAAGAAGGATCATTAAATATACGAGAGAATCGTGGATCTGTAACAACAGCAGCAGCAGCAGCATCAAGATCTTCTGCTTCTGCTGCTGCTGCTGCTGCTGCTGCTGCTGCGGATCCTGATGATGCTCCTGCTGCTGCTGCTGCTGCTAATGCTGATGCGCGAGCCTCTGCTGCTCTTGCTGCATCTAGTTTAGCCTCTTGCTTTGTACGGGATACAGACACCGATGAGCCCTCCTGCTGCTGCTGCTGCTGCTGCTGCTGTTGCTGCAGCAGCTGCTTCTGCTCCTCTTGCTGCTTCCTTGCTGCTCTGTTAATACCAAAGCGAGGGTCAGAAGCAGCAAGAAAACGCTTATCTAGCCGTTTGCCAGGCTTTGCTGCTGCTGCTGGTGCATCTGCTGCTGCACTTGCTGCTCCTGCTGCTGCTCCCTCTGCTGCTGCTGCTGCTGCTGCTCCTGCAGCACCTGCAGCAGCACCGGGAGCCTTCTTCGGCCCCTTCTTTGGCTTTTCTTTCTCCGTCATTTCTATAATAGAAATAAACCTCCCAGAACCGACCTAAACCCTAAACCCTAAACCCTAAACCCTAAACACTAAACCCTAAACACTAAACACTTACCAGTAAACCCTAAACCCTAAACCCTATTTGCAGGGCTACTAATAAAATAAAATTAAAATAAACCCTTAAAAAGTATTTTCTTCAACTTTTTCTCCCCTTAATACTGGAGCAAATGGGGGGCCCTTCCCGACCCTGTGGGGCCCCCAGGATCTGAGGGGCCCCAGGGGGGCCCCCCCCTTCTTCGGGGGGCCCCCGTGTTATAGGGAGGGCCCCCCAGGGGGCCCCCATAGATTCTTTTATATGACATAAAAAGGGGTTTAGTTTAATGTTTTAATTTAATTTAATTTTGTACACCTCGATACACCTTGGCGTCTTTTGCTGCAGCAGCAGCAACAACCGCAACACCGTCAGCAGCAGCAGCAAGAGCAGCAGCAGCAACAACAAGAACAGCAGCAACAGTGGCAGCAACAGCACCAGCTAAAGGAAGACAGGCTACGGGGTAATGATAAGAATTAGTATATCCATTAAGGACCCTGTTTTGTCGACGAAGCCTGCAGCAGCAGCAGCAGCAGCAGCAGCAGCATCGACGGCAGCAGCAGCATCGACGACAGCAGAATAAGCAGCAACGACAACGACAGCAGCAGCAAAGACAGAAGCAGCAGCAGCAGCAGCAAGAACAGCAACTTCATCAGATGCTGTGGGGGAGAATCCGCCCCCTACAGCCAAGATGGTTGGGACATAGGGCCGCATGCGCTGCTGCTGCAGCTGCAGCTGCTGCTGTTCCTCCAGCAGCAGCAGCTACAGCAGCAGCAGCAGCAAAACTTCCCTGCTGCTTGAGCACACGACGGCAGCTGGCTAGTGGATACTCTAAGCGGGGAGCAGCAACTAGTAGCACCAATGACAGCAGCAACAGCAGCAGCAGCAACAACAACAACAGCAACAACAGCAGCAATGACAGCAGCAGCAGCAGCAGCAGCAGGCCTCTGCGGATTCAGACGGGCGTGGCTGCCACACGCGGAGATGTGCAGACACCTGGGCGAGTTGCAGCAGCAACAGCAGCAACAGCAGCAACAGCAGCAGGAACAAGTGCAGCAGCAGCAAACCCTGCAGCACCAGCAGCAACCCCTGCAGCAGCAGCAGCAGCAGCAGCAGGGGGAACCTTTGTGTCTTTATGCGAGGAATTCGTGAAGCTTATGCAAGATCTTGCTGCTGCTGCTGCTACTCCTGCTGCTGCTGCTGCTGCTGCTGCAGCTTCTCCAGCAGCAGCAGCGGCAGGCAGCTTGCCGTACTCCACGAAGGGCACGGATGTGAGCCCTCAATCAAAAGGGTTTAGGGTTTAGGGTTTAGGGTTTAGAATTAACAATTTAGAGTTTAGGGTTTAGGTTTTAGGGTTTATGAATTAGGGTTTAGGGTTTAGGGTTTATATTGTGTTGCGTACAGATAAAACATAAACTTCGTCTTGTTGCTGCTGCATTGCCGTGGTTTTGTTCTTCCCTTAATTTAGGTGTACGTACACCTCTAAACCCTAATTCTTCTTCTTCTTCTCCTCCTTCTTCTTCTTCTTCCTCTTCCTCTAGGGTTTTAGGTGTACATACACCGCAAAACCCTAATCATGAATTAAGAGAAGCATTAAAAACCCTCGCGCAAATGGAATGTCCAGTCGTCATCTTATCCAAAAAAATGTAAACCCCCAATTAGGGTTTAGGGTTTAGGGTTTAGGGTTTAGGGTTTAGGGTTTTGTTCTGGTACTACAGTATCAATAGAGCCATCATATTTATTCTTCTTTGTAGTTATCGAGGGTTTAGCCAATTGTTGTTTAGTATCTACGATTAAGGTTCTAACGCTTAGGGTTTAGGGTTTAGGGTTTAGGGTTTAGGGTTTAGGGTTTAGGGTTTAGGGTTTAGGGTTTGTGCAGGTCTAAGGAGTGTCCTACTTTTCCTCAATTTCCTTTACAAAAAATTCGCGAGGCATCGAAGCGTCTCCGTGAATCCCTACAGATACCAGAGATACTTGTAGGCAACAGCAGCAGCAGCAGCAACAGCAACAGCACCAGCA